CCAGGCTCAGTTCCTGTACACAAACTGTTCCCTTTGCCTGGAACATTCCCTTTGCTGATCAATCCTGATTCTTTCTTTCTTTTTTTTTTTTTTGAGACAGAGCCTTAAGCTGTCACCCTGGGTAGAGTGTCATAGCGTCACAGCTCCTCACAGCAACCTCAAACTCTTGGGCTTAAGCGATTCTCTTGCCTCAGCCTCCCCAGCAGCTAGGGCTACAGTTACTCGCCACAACACCTGCCTATTTTATGGTTGTAGTTGTCATTGTTGTTTGGCAGGCCCAGGCTGGATTTGAACCTGTCAGTTGTGTATGTGGGTGGCACCTTAACCGCTTGAGCTACAGGCACCGAGCCCTGATTCTTTTTTTTTAAAGTCTACACTGTACTCAGCAAAACCTCCCAAGAAGGCCCCCTGGTCTAGGCTAGAGCCTCCACTAGTTCTCCATGGTACTGTTAATGAAAGCTGCAGTTTACATTTTTGGTTTTGCCAACGTTTGTTTAAGGCCTGCTTTTCCTGCACCTATAGGTTCCATCTCTGGGTTAAAGCTTTGCTGCTCCTGCCTTGTTCCATGGCTGTGCCCACAGCATCCAGCACAGTGACTCACTCTGCGTGTGCTAGATGAGTGACTAGGGGAATGCGTGAATGACTGAGTCTCCGGGTGAGGGAGCAGGAAAGGCCTCATGGAGGAATTGGTGGAAGAGGCAATAGTTAGTTATTCATATATTTGGGAACTTCAAGAGTCATGGGCCTGGAATTATGAGCTGAGAGCTGCCTTAACTTACAGCCCTGATCATAAAGGCTTCCTTTTCCTTCCTGAAAATCATTGATCCAGCCCACCTCCAACTAACTTCCCCTCTCCTGGTTTTCTGCCTGGGGCCCCAGCCGTTCCCACTTCCCGTCCCTTTCCACTCACTCTCTGTCCCTGCCAGCTCTCTCTCCAATCCACTTTCCCACCACACCCTTGGTTGATGTAACTGCATAATTGGGTGATGTCAGAAAGCTCATTCGTACTTCTACTAGGGCAACGAAGTGTCTGGAGCTTTGCGATTGGCCTTGAGAGGCAGAGGGATGTACCCCCATCCCACCTCGGTTCTCCTTCAGGCTCGAAGCACAAGTCTCCAGCCCTACCCAAAAGGGAGGGCTGTAACCTAACCCAAACCAAACAGCTACCCACAAAAAGAAACGGGAAGAAAAATCTTTCCCCTGGTGCAAAGACAAGCTCCCCGTGGCACTCTCCCCATGTCCCACAGAGGTGACTGGTTCAATTTCTCTGTCTTCTACAGGGTCCTGTCAGCACCTGTTCTCTTGGGCACAGACTGAGAGATGGCATGACATTGTTCTTCCTGCCAAATTGAGGCGGGGGGGAGGGAAAAAGCAAAGGGGAGGTGCTTTTCAAGGTTTTGACGTGCCTTTCCCAGTTTCAGAGGTCTCAAGCAGCATAAAAATAAAAGACCTACAGGATAAAGAGAAAATGTGTTTCTGAAAGTGTACGTGTGTGCATATGTATGCGTGCTGGGTAGGACTTGTACAATCAAACAAGGACTTAGTATTTGAGACAATGGGAAAGAAACAGTATCAAATGATGATAGCTACCATTGACTGGGCTTGGGCTACATGCCAAACACTTTGTAAAATGTTTTATGTACAATATTTCATTTACTTTTCAAAACAACTCAGTGAAGGAAGCATTCACGCACCCATTTTACAGATGAGGAAACAAGCTCATGCGTCACACACCTTAATAGGGGCCAAGCTCCAAGACTGAAACCCTGCTGCCCTTGCCAGGAACCACTACTGGCAACTGCTTTCCAAGAGCTAGAGCTGAGAAAGTAAAGGAAATTGGTTTACGGTGTGGCAGAGGGCTTGCGATTAGACATAAAGAACTTTCTGACAATGAGGGCTGTTTGGCTGTAGTCAGGGTAATTAGGCTTGTTAGAACTCTTCCTCTGAGGGCCTTTACATTTAAGATGAATGGATGCTTCTAAGCCTGGATGGTTTAAGGGAAGTGCTCTCTGTTCACAGCAGGGGGCTGGCCTGTTTGACCTAACTGACAGCCTCACTGGGGCACAGGGCTGGCCTGTTTTGACCTAACTGGCAGCCTCATGGAGGATACGAGATTGCCACACTTGAAACCGTTAGATAACAGGAGAAGATAACACAGAATGTGTGCCCGAATGGGACTGGAAGAAAGGACAGGCTATAGACAAGCAGACGCTACTGTGGTTAAAAGCCAAGGGCTTGGGCGGTGCCTGTAGCTCAGTGGGTAGGGCGCCAGCTACATACACCGAGGTTGGCGGGTTCCAACCGGGCCTGGGCCAGCTAAAGCCACAATGACAACTGCAACCAAAAAATAGCTGGGCATTGTGGAGGATGCCTGTGGTCCCACCTACTTGGGAGGCTGAGGGAAGAGAATCACTAAAGCCCAAGAGTTTGAGGTCACTGTGAGCTGTGACTGCACAGCACTCTACCCAGGGTGACAGCTTGAGACTCTGTCTCAAAAAAAAAAAAAGCCAAAGGCTGTAGTCAGGCAGGCCCACTTGTGTTTGAGTCTCTGCTGGTTTTACTACTTTCGTGACGTTGTATATGTTGTTGCCTAATCTCTCTAAGCTTTGGGTGCTTAGTCAGTAAAAAGAGGCTAACAATAGAACCTATTTGGGGTGGTTACCATGAGAATTAAATAAGATGAACCATATAAAATAACATGGCACAGAACCTGGACACAATGAGAATCCAATGAGTGGTGGCTGCTGTACTAATAATTGTTACTGTTGGAGTCCAGAGGTAAGAGAGAGCAGTGCCCAGTAGAGCTATAGGGAGGTAAGCAGCTGAGCAAGTCTTCCTGGGAAACCTTGGAAACCTTGGAGTTTCATCCAAACTTTTTTCTTCTCTGCTGTACATTGGAAGAACAAGAGTTGTCTTGGGCCACATGTTAAATACACAAACACTAATGAAAGCTGATGAATAAAAGAAAAGGTCCATACAGACTTTTCACCTGACATTGCGGATAAGCAAAACAATCCTCAAACAATCTGCCCCCAGCCCAGTAGCCTCAGGTTTGGCACCCCCGGGTCTAGAGCTTGAAGAGTTGGTTAGGTTAAACCAACAGGAAGGAAGAGGAACAGAGGCAGATAGTTCTCATATAATGGAGTGAGATTTCAAATGCCCCAGAATTTTAAAAGAAAATTCTGGGGCAGGTGCAGTGGCTCATGCCTATAATCCTAGCATTCTGGAAGGCCAAGGCAGATGAATCACATGAGCTCAGGAGCTTAAGACCAGCCCAGCAAGAGTGAAACCCCATTTCTACTAAAAATAGAAAACCTAGCCAGTTGTCATGGCAGGTGCCTGTAGTCCCAGATACTTGGGAGGCTGAGGCAGGAGGATCACTTAAGCCCAGGAGTCTGAGGTTGCTGTGAGCTAGGCTGAGGCCATGGCACTCTAGCCTGGGGCAACAGAGTGAGACTTTCTCTTTAAATAAATAAAAGTCTGGTTTGATTTATGGTTAAAATAGAGAAGGAAGTTGATTGTGGGGAAGAGGTGGGGAAAAGACCTGAAATCTTCCATCCTTGTTTCCAAATCCAAAATTTGAATAGCAACAAAGACAGCCTCTAGGACCTGAAGAAGAAATCAGACATGCAGAGCTTCTTTGCCTATTTCAGGACTCTTGTTGGAGAGGGAGAGGTAGGGGCCTGGGAACATGGCTGAGGGCAGAGCTGTTGATGGATGGGGGACAGGACCTGAAATGGGGGAAGTTAGGAAATGTGGGTGAGGCCCTCAGTGACTGTGTGGGCTGACTCATGTGGGGAGACCTCGCTAGAAGGCTGTATTGAGATCTAGTATCTGATGAGACAGAGACCCGTTTGGGGGCCCTGGGCATGTCTAACCTTCAGTGCTGCCAGCTAAGGGTGGGAGTCGCTGGGGTAAGAAATCCTAGTACTAATCCAATTATTCTCTGCCACCCTGCTTTATCTTCCTAATGTGAAGATAAACTCCTTAGGGGACAGGTGGTTCCCTAGGAAAGATGCGTTTGTTTTAGATCCTCTGACAAGTGCCTACCATCCACCCCTATATCAAGCATGGAGTGGACCCTTGTTAAAAATGCTAATTCTCAGTTCTTTTCCCTAGAGAGTCTAACTCCCTAGTTTTAGAGACCTAGGAGTCTGTGTTTTTCATGAGTATCCACATTCTTTAGGTAAGGCAAATTTGGGAAATCCTGTGTTAGATAATGTCTTAAATCCCTTTCAGTCCTAAATGTAGGCAGCAGAGTGTAAATAGGAAGGGGTCTGGGTAGATTCTAGCTGGACCCTGCAGTTCACAGTACCCCGCGCTGGGAAAGCCCTAGAAGGGAAGGAGACTGCAGAGCCGAAAGGAGTTTCCACCCATCCGTGATCCAGACCACAAAGGAAGCGAAAAGGGACATCAGGAAAAAATGGTTCTGAGCATCCTGGGGCTTCCTGGTGCCTGGCTCTGGCAGGACAGTGTAGGTCTCAGCAATTCTCACTATACACAGAGGGACGCTGAAGTCCAAAGAACTTTTAAAACGCGCCTACATTGCACAGCTAATCAGAGGAAGCCGGAATCCTCGTCTAGTCTCCATCCAGTTCGTGGTTGGGATGCAGGGGCGGGGAAGGCATATTTTCTTGTGATATGTGGGAGAGATGGTGGAGCGCCCGAGTCTCTGGAAAGTCTCCGGAGTGACCTGGAATCTACTATTTCCCTGCATTTGTTCAGTCTGTTCCTGGAGGAAAACAAAACAAAACAAAAAATGGTTCCTGGGGAGGTGAGCAGGGCTGCGAATAGGAAAAGACAGAATTGAAAAAGAAAGCTACCCAGAGCTCACGAACTCTGAAAGCCTGAGGGCCTAGCGCGGATCCCAGGGCTGTCTTAGCGACATCTCACACCTGATGGAGGTTAAAGCCAGACAAGAACCTCAGCTCCCTACTCTTTCCAACATTGGAGGAAGCAGGCGGAGTGCAAGGTGAGGTTTAATTTTGCAGAAGGGTTTTAGAAATTCGCTGTGTCAGAGAAACTAAAAGCCCAAACAAAACCCCTAAAAATTCAAGCCCGGGTGATTTCATCCACGTGGCACAAGAACCAGCCAAAAAGAGGGGGGCGGGGAAGAGTCACCGGTCCCGCCCTCACTGGGAGGAAGGGATTTGCCAAGAGTACGAACTTCTGACAGAGGCCTGGCGGCGACCGCGGCCGAGAAGGAAGGAGGGAGGAGGGAGGGAAGCCCTTTCCCACAAAGCCGCTGCGCAGCGGGGCCCTCTCCCCGCCCCCTGCCCGGCCGCCGCGGAGTGCGGGGAGCCGCCGCGGGCCCTTTAAGGGCCGAGAGGTGCGCGGTCTCTTTAAGGCAGGTCCTGTTGGGTTTTGTTTTCTGAAGGAAGTGACGGGGGGTAGGATTGAATGAAAAGTGCAAAACAGAGTCTCTGAGCGCCAGAGTCCGGGGCCGCGGGAGCCGCGGCGCTGGGCCGGCGGGCGGGCGGGGAGCGCGGTCTCCGATCGGAGCCTCCAGAGCGCGCGGCCGAGCGCAGCCCACGTGAGTCCGCGCCACGTCGCGGTCCTCCTGCGGCTGAGTCCCCCGGCGCTCGGACTAGCCCCCAACTTCGGGCGAAGTTTGCCAGCATCTCTCCCCGCCCCCACGCGGCGCGCGGGGGCCGCGGAGGGCAGCGGCGGCGGCCCCCGGGGATGCGCCCGCCCGGCAGCCGCGGGGTCCCCACCGCGTGCCCCACGCTGCTGCTGCTGCTGCTGCCACTGCTCGTGCCGCTGCTTGGGGCGCCGCGCGGCGTAGGCGCGGGGACCGGCGCTCCCGCTGAGCTGCGGGTCCGCGTGCGGCTGCCAGACGGCCAGGTGACCGAGGAGAGTCTGCAGGCGGACAGCGACGCCGACAGCATTAGCCTCGAGCTGCGCAAGCCCGACGGCACCCTGGTCTCCTTCACCGCCGACTTCAAGAAGGTGAGGCACCGTTGCGCGCCCGGGTGGGGTCTCGGGAGCCCAGGAGGAGGACGCGACATATCCACGGTTACGCTTCTTTGTCCCGCTCCCGGACCCAGACCTGCCAGGAACTTCTCTGCTGCCCTCTCACGCACTGCTCCAAACTTTCAACCCCTCGCTGTGGATACCCAAACCCCTTCTCGCTAGCCACCAGTCCCTTCCCCCAGCTCCTCCTTCATGCGCTGACTCTCCTTCGGAAGAGTTAAGGTTAACAGCCCCAAAGTCCTCCTTGGAGAGCCTTCTGTGTGCTCTGGTGGGAAGCATCCTGGCCTAGCTATAGAAGGTCCCGCTTTCTCACTGTGTTGCTGTGTGGTCTAGAGCAAGTCCTTTTCCTTCTGCGGGCCTCCTTTTCTCACCTCTGTACAGGGCAGTTAGGTGACTGAGGCCTCCCAGCCCTGACATCTTAGAACTCCTGAATCACCTCTCCCTCTGTTTCGCTTTCTTGGGCGGACCTAACTGTCTCTGGTTCTTCCCAAGCCCCAGAGGCAAGCTTTCTTTCCTTTTTGGTCTGGAAGGCTGGGATGCTTGATGGGACATACTCCAGGAGAGGCCCCTCCCTCTAAGGAGAAGTGCCACCCTTTACCCTGCCTGGTAGGGGGGGAAGAAGACACCCTCCCCTGCCCTCCCCTTTTAGCCCAGATTGGGGGTAGAGGGTTCTGAGACTAGCCTCTACTGTGTGTGTGTTGTGGCTAGAACCAGAAGGCAAGCCTGGCCCCCAAGGGGCTGGGGAAGGGTGGACGTGTTCTGGGGGTTTATCAGGAAATGAGCCTGGAAGGATGGTGAGTGACTAAGAGTGACCCAGCAGCAGGAAACCTGGAGGAAAGAGGGTGGGTGAGTTTTAGGTATTCAAAGGGAGTGTCCTGTGTCCTGCTGCCAGCCTCTCTCCAGTAGAGAGGTCTGAGGGGCTGTGTCTCTGGGGGAGGACAGAGGTAAGACAGATTATTTAGCTGGGAAGCCCAGGGCCTGAGCCTCCTGTCTCTTCCTTCCACTGAGCCCGGGAGAGAGACTTCCCATTCCTGGGACCTCCCCAGCAGCCAAGGCTGTGGCCAAGACTGTGGAAGAGGCAACGGGGCAGGGCTGAGTTTTATAGCCTTTGGCTACAGCTGGAAGTTTTTTATTGTTCTGACCTGAAGGCTGCCTCTCAGAGGGAGTGCCCAGGTGGCTGCTGGGTAGGGGGTAGAGTGCTGGGGATTGGGGCTGAAGGGTGTCTGATTGCCCAGTTAGAGAATGCCCTTGGAGCTGATTGCAGCTACCTCCTTTGAATCCCCACACTGGTTCAAACCTCCACCCACCCAGGTTTCCAAAGTCTGCTTTTCAGGTTAGCCTCTGACCCAGAACCTGGCATTTCACACCCACCCCTGGCATCTCCAATTTCATCAGTAAGGGAGGGAATTGGGAGTGGAAGGCAAAGAAAGGAAACCAGCTCTCCAAATTCCCCTCAACCCCAGGTTTCTCTGCGGGCCTGGGACGGTGCGGTTGGAGATCACAGGAGTGGGGAGGAATGGCCTTCACCCATGCCCAGCACACCATCTGCACTGGCCAAAGCAACTTTTGTGCTCTAGTGCCTCTGGGGTAGGTCACCTCTCTTATTGCCCAATTTGTTTTCATGCTTCATATTCCTTGAAAGATTGTCACAAGAAAGTTTTTTTTTTTTTTCCCCTGGGAGTAATGATTTTTTCCTGTAAGAAAAAGGTTTGGATGTTGCGTTTTTGTGTTTTCTGCACCAAACCCATTTGGGCTGGTTTGGGAAAAGTCCCTGATTTACTTGAGAAGAGTGATGCTTGTCGTCTGATTGCCCTTGGGAGAGACAGACCTGGTTTACCACTTAATAGCTGGTTAACCCTGGGCAAGCAATTCGATCTCTCCCAGCCTTCATTTCTTCATCTGTAAAAGGGGATAATAATAGTACATATGCCATCGTTATTGGGAGAGGCAGACAGGCCAGTGCATGGGCAGTACTCTGTATTCTGATTCTGTGTTATAAGGGCCCGAGAAATAGAAGTAGTTGGCTTTAATAATTGTGGCTCACATTAGCATTTCAGCAAGGATCCTTTCTTTAAGTTTGGACTAAAGAGGTTGAATGATGGACCCAAGATCACACAGAAAAGTCAGCACTGAGCCTGGAGGGAGCTTGAGTTCTTTGCAAGCTTCTCCTGGACGCTACAAAATTGCTCGCCAGGCCCCCAGAGCAGGCCCCTTGTCCTGACATAGGCTGTCAGGGCAGCAGGGAGTCCCCCATGCTGCCTCCATGACCCCCCACCCGGAATCCCATGCCCTCTCTCTAGCCCCTCTCACTCTCCTTGTTTGCCTCTACCCCAGGCAGTGTTCCAGTATAGTCTGACTCTGACCCACACTGCCACCCTGGACCTAAAGCCAGCAAAGTGGCCAAGGTCATCAGCCCATTGTAGGACACACAGCCTGGAGCCCAAGTGAGGCCTGCAGACTCCATGAGTAACTTGAAGCTATCAAACATCCATCCTGCGGTTACTGCAAGCCCTGCCCTACACTGGTGCCCACTGTGCTGACGGAGCCGCAGCTCTGAAAGAATGAATGCCATAGGCCAGTGGCTCCTAAGCTTTGCTGCACATCAGAATCACTTGGGGAGCTTGGAAACATCACCACGCCCAGGCCACACAATATACTGATTAAATCAGAGTGTCTGAGGGTGGGAGTTGGGCAGGACTTTTTTTTTTTTTTCTTAGAAACAGAGCAGCTCGGCGCCTGTGGCTCAAGCGGCTAAGGCGCCAGCCACATACACCTAAGGTAGCAGGTTCGAATCCCCAGCCCGGGCCCGCCAAACAACAATGACGGCTGCAACCAAAAAAATGGCTGGGCGTTGTGGCGGGCCCCTGTAGTCCCAGCTACTTGGGAGGCTGAGGCAGGAGACTCGCTTGAGCCCAGGAGTTGGAGGTTGCTGTGAGCTGTGATGCCATAGCACTCTACCCAGGGGGATAGCTTGAGGCTCTGTCTCAAAAAAAAAAAAAGAAACAGAGCCTTATTTTGTTACCCTCGGTAGAGTGCTGTGGTGTCACAGCTCATAGCAACCTCCAACTCCTGGGCTTAGACGATTCTCCCGCCTCAGCCTCCTGAGTAGCTGGGACTATAGGCGCCTTCCACAATGCCTGGCTATTTTATTTTATTAATTTATTTTTTGTTGCAGTTTGGTGGGGGCTGGGTTTGAACCCACCACCCTTGGTATATGAGGCCGGCGCCTTACTCATTGAGCCACAGGCGTTGCCCAGGCAGCAGCATTTTTAAGGCACCCCAAGGTGATTCCAGTGTGCAGCAAGATTCAGAAAGCACTGCAGTAGCTGCTCCAGGGAAGAGGAGGGACTGGACCCAGGTTAGATTGTTCAGTGAGGATAGGACTCAAACAGCCACATATTCAAAACCTATCATTCTACCCACCATAACATAATCCCAGTTTTGAGCAGTATCTCCCCTTCAGTCCTAATTCTACATGCCCTCACATTGAGAAGGCAATGTTCCTCTTTATACCCCAATCCTGTACGTATAATTAGACTTTATACATATAACCCCTGGGCATATCTAGTAACAGTCTAGTCGCCATCTGCAGTCTCTAACCTGGCTGTGTCACAGCCCTCTTGATACTCCTCCCCCAAGCTGGTGTCCTTGTCCAAGCTCTTTCTCCTCTGTCCCCCAGTCGGAGCGTCCAAAGCTGGGGAGGGGATGAGTCACGTTCCAGGCAGCCTGGCTTAGTGCTGACCGGATGGGGAGGATGGGACTGAAAGATAAGAAGAAAGTCATGTGTGACTGGGTTGGGGTGGGGGGGTACCTTGGGAGGGGAGAGAAGGAGGCATAGACTCTGAAAATGTGGAGCAAAGAGACCATGAGGGTCTACAGCTGGAGCCTTGGTGAGGACAACCAAGATAAGGGGAGCTGTGTGGCTGCATGGGTCAGCTCAAGGTCACCCAAAGGGGTGAGGACCCAGAGAGGGTGGAAACACGAGCTCTGGCCTGAGCACCAGTGGGTGAGTGGGAGCCAGGGGAAGCCAGAGGAAGGAGAAGTCCTGAACGCTGGAGTCCCTGCGCTGCAGGTCTGGGCTTGGGTACGGGAATAATAAAGCCTGGAGACCCAGTGGAGATGCAGAACATGCACGTGGTCATAGGGATTATCACATCTCACAGATGTGGGACTGAGAAGCTTCTAGAACACAGCCTCCCCCTACTCTGTCTGTGTTAGGTCCCCTGATATTCGGCATGGAAATTCTTCTTGGGGAACAGAGGATGGTAGAGGTACTTTCAGGGGAGACTCAGACCTTTCTGCAGCTCAGATCATTTCCTCAGAGGCGTTACAGTCAGGCTCTTGCACCTGGGGCCCTTGGGTCTGACTCAGTCCCTTCTCTGCATCGGAGGAGATCCTCACTGGATCAGGGATGAGCAGCCTGAGGGTTCACATGTGCTCCCTGGAGTTTGGCCAGCACCTCACAGCCCTGAATGCTGTATCCAGGTGGAGTTTCTAGCAAAAGAGCCCAGGCTTGGGGGCAGTTGAGTGGCCTGCTAGGAAGTAGTGGGGAGGGGTGGAGGTATTCTTTCCTGCCAGGGTTCCCTAAGCACAGAGAGGTGCTAGTGGATAAACTCAGGACAGCCTTCTATCTCCCTACAGCCGTGAGGTAGGACTGCATAGGTGTCTGGAGGTCACCCATTGAGGGTCACTGGATCACACACGTGCCTCACTTCTACAGCACACACCATGAAGCAGAGAGGGCCTCTGTTTTGCAGACATACAGGCTGAGGCCAAATTCTGAAGGGATTTTGACAAAATAAAACAGTTAATGATTAGGATTAGGACCCAGGGACCCTCGGCTATGTCATGACTGCCTGCCTATGCTGCCATGGTACTGAGGGTGGGCCCCTAGCAGAACCCTGGGAAGGGGAGGGAAGCTGAGAAAACCCTTGGTGCAGAGGAACGGGTCTACAAAGAGACTCTCCTCTGAGTAG